AGTGGCCACCGATAGAACTAGAGGATATGGCCACAAACTGAAGCACCAGAAATTCCACAGGAACTTAAGGAAAAATTTCTTGACAGTGAGGGTGACAGAGTCCTGGAAGAGGTTGCCAAGAGAGGGTGTGGAATCTCCTTCTCTGGAGATCTTCAAAACCTGCTTGGATGCAATCCTGTGCCACGTGCTCTAGGTGACACTGCGTGTGCAAGGAGGTTGGACTAGATGATCTCTAAAGTTCCCTTCCAACTTTAAGAATTCAAAGTCAGACAGAATTGGGCCTGTTCAGCATGGAGAAGAAAAGCCTGAGGTTGGGCTTCTATTGGTGGATATAAATGTCAGAAGGGAGGGCGTGAAGAGGATGCGTCCATAATCTTTTCAGTGGTGCTCAGTGATGCCTCCTATGCTGAACGCAATGCATGTTTCTTGCTCTTGTGGATGTCGTTTTGTCGCAGGAAGGCCGGAAAAAGCCTCCCTTCGAGATACCTCCACCCATAACACTAGAATCTTCTCTTGACATTTAGGCTACAGGCCTCCCTTGGTGCAAGGAGAACACTGAGCGAGGAGAGGAAGCCTGGTAGCTGCACACTGCCACACTGGGCAGTGCCATCCTTGCTGGTCTCTTTCTGCAGAGCTGTGCTCACTCTTCAGGGCCCTGTCTGTGGGCAGTGTGCAGTGCCAGTGATGGTGATCTTGTAGGGATGAAATAGTTATTGTAGAGTGTACTAATAAGCTAGGCAATACTTAGTCTCGAAGTGCAAGGACTCTTGATAATTGGCAAGACAGGTGGCTATGCATGGAGGGGTTACCTATCTGCAAAGACTCCTGATATATGGCAAGTCAGGATGATCTCCATGGAGGGGTTGCTTATCCAGAGGTCCCAGTCAGCAATAAAATATAGATAACATGGACATGAAAGCAGAACATGAAAACAGGAGGGGGAACATTTTTGGGGTAAGAACGGTATAAAAGAGGGACGACCGAAGCGGTCAGGGTCCGTGGTGTGACCTCTGCGTGGGAAAGCCCGGACCCCAGCTAGCTGGCAATACCTATTATCTTTCTCCTATTATTAAAAAGCACAATATATCGATGGGGTTTGCCTCTTTCTCCGTCGATTTGAAAACCGGACCTAACAATCTGAGAAGCACAGAGAGGGAGCTGGGCGTAGCAGAGGGGCACCATGAGGAGAGGTGTCCTGGCTTAGGGCAATGCAGGCAAAATGCCCACAGCTTTTGGGGTCAGCCTGGGGCTGGTGACAGGGAGTGCCTGTTCGGCAGACAGAGCGGCTGAGCTGGAGAGAGGGGAGTTGCAGCCACGCGGAGAGCTCACGACCAGGAAGCTCATTGGATGGCCTCGTGTGTGATCATCTCGCTGATTGGCTGGTTGGGTTGCTGTGCGCCACGTGCTGCTTGGGCAGGATGGGGGCTGCCCCAAGGTCGGAAGCTATATAAGTTCTGTTTAACCGCAAAAAAAGGTCTTCGGCTCACCATCACAAAGACACTGCTCCTCAATACGCCCACAAATGGTGCATGCACAGGGACTGAAATAGGCGACAGACAAGTTTGTCACACCAGGACATAGCTCGACTGAACAACGGCTGAAAGGAAGCTGCGCGCACACAATTGCCTCCTGCAAGACAGAGGTAAGCAGTCGAGAACGATGGGGAACTCCATGACACAGGAGCAGAGGAATGCAGGAGAGGCGGCTGATTTGAAACGCCTCTTGAAATGGGCGCATGAGCAAGAATGGCATCTAAGTACTCATACAGTGTATGACCCCCGCAGCTCGGTGCTGGCTGTGCTGCTTTGCGGGCTCCTGGGCGGCAGGCAGGTCGTGCTGCGGCTCCCACTTCAGGGTGAGCTGGCCCGGCACCGAGCTCAGCCTGCCTGTGAGTGGTGCTCTGTACAACTACATCATCATGACCACTGTGGATATCTTTCCGCTCATATCCAGTGGCAAGGAGGAAGAAGAAAAGGACTATAACGGTCCTACTCCAGGAGAATTGTTGGAACCCCTTTTTAAGAAGAAAAAGAAACTGGTCAAGAAACAAACATCCAAGAATACTGTCTTGGGAAAATGATGATAAAGAACCCATTTTCAGATCCAGAACAAGAAACCCACTGTCAGAATCAGATCAAAAAGGAAAGGAAAGCCTAAAAGAGAGTGTAAAAGAAACACCTACAAAAATATAGAAGAGCAGATGACCCTGTGCTATCCTGTAGAAATGGGAAATGGCACACCCTGTAGCTTCAGACCCTCATCAAGCACAGTGATGTACACCTGCCATCCACAAGCTAAGCACGAGATGCTCTCTCTAGCTAAAATCACAACTGGTGAATACAAAGTGATTATACTGACACCTCTGTTACGCAGCGATCCGAAATAGAGGTTTTGTCAGCCAGGATCGCCACTTAAATCCCATATCCTGGAACAGCTAGAGAAATAGCAAGAACTGATGAAGATGCCTTTTAGAAGAATTAAGGAGGAAGAAATGCATTCAACAAAAGAAGAGAAATTTTCTTACATCCATAAACCAGCGGACAGCTCACTATTTTATAGTTCACACCCAATCCCACACTGAACTACCAGGTCTGAAAGCTGAGGGGAATCGCCATGCGGACGCCCTAGCAGGAGCCGTTTCCCTTTCAGACACATATCAACAAGCACAACTGTTCTACTCTTCCTTTCATTGAAGTGTGAAAGCGTTGCGCCATGTGTTCGCCATCTCTTTGGATCAAGTGCGGCAGATAGTGCAAACCTGTCTGGACTGCCGAATCCCCCCACGCTGGGAGTCAACTCTAGGGGACTGGAAGCACTTCAACTCTGGCAAACAGCTGTCACTCACATTCTGGAGTTCAGCCGATTAAAATATGTGCATGTCTCCATAGATATGTTCTCCTTCTACATCTACGCATTGGCACATTGCGACGAGAAGGCTCGCGATGTTGGCCATCACTTCATAGGAGCATTTGCTACCCTAGGAGTGCGGGTTAGAGAATTAAAACAGATAATGGACCTGCCTGCACTTCACATGCACTCACAACATTTTTGCAGCAATGGGGGATTCGACACCACACAGGGATACCTCACTCACCCACAGGCCAGGCCGTTGTTGAGCGTGCGCACAGCACTCTCAAGACTATGCTAAACAAACAAAAAAGAGGGAGCAAGGGATACTCTCCACAAGAGAGGGTGCAGAAAGCTCTTTATGTGCTTAATTTTTTAAAATTGTGAAGTGGACAAGGCCCCACCAGTGCTGCGGTGTTTTCGCAGAAAAGAACCAACCCAACCCAGTGAGGCCATGGTGGAGGTGTGGGACCCACGGATGGGCCAGTGGGGATAAGCAGTACCACGGATAACATGGGACGAGGGTATGCTTGTGTCTCCACAGATCAAGGCCCACAGTTGATTCCTGCGTGATGGGTCTGATCAGCACTAGTGGCGGTCTCCTCCTCCCTAATGGCAGTGCCCTGGATCCCCTTACTATGTCTCACAAAAAAAAAGGGCGGGGGAGATGTTGGGGTCAGCCTGAGGCTGGTGACAGGGAGTGCCTCCTTGGCAGACAGGGGCTGAGCCGGAGAGGTGGAAGCTGCAGCCACGCAGCCAGCTCATGACCAGGAAGCTCACTGGATGGCCTCGTGTGTGATCATCTCGCTTATTGGCTGGATGGGTTGCTGTGCTCCACGTGCTGCCTGGGCAGGGCGGGGACTGCTCCGAGGTCGGAGGCTGTATAAATTGTATTTAACCCCAAATAAAGGTGTATGGCTCACCATCACAAAGACCCTGCTGCTCAATACGTCCACACACAGCAGCCATTGTACTAGACTGGCCCGGCACAAGGCTGGCCAAAGAGGGATGGATTTCATGTGAGAAAGATCACACTTAGCAGGATATGATACTTGTCTACTCCAGCCACCCCCACAATATGGTAGAATGAATGAAGCCTTTACCCTGGTGGCAAGACTCCATACGTGCTTCTTTTTAAATTATTTTTATTTATTTTTTTACCAGGAAAGAGAGAAATGCACAGTGCAAGGACATAAAAGCTCAGGCAGCACCTAGAGGGTTGCGTGGGAGTAACAACAGAGGCAGTTCGCCAAGGGTACAGAGTCCCAGGCCGGAGCCAGTGGATGATCACTCAGGTGTCGTGAGTGATTCAAGGTCATCATAGCTTGCATTCCTGGGTGTTGAGGACAGGGCATCTGTTGCATCTCCTTGTGGCTCCGTGGTGCTCAATGAGGGTCGTCTTCCTTCTGGAAAGAGCAAACCCGGTGACTTAGAGAGGCCATTTCATGCCTGGGCTGCCAGGCCTGGACCAGGGCCCTCCTATGCCCAGCTGCTGCCCACTGCCATGGCTGTGTACAGAAGCGCCGCCTCTCTCTGCAGACTGGCACAACACTCGCATCGGCTGCTGTCCAGGTTGTGGCACCTCTTACCTCCTAGCACTGCTGTCTCGCAGACAACTCTGTCGCTCAGCCCTGGAGCAGCAGCCTCTCCTGGATCCAGCACAGCTTCAGCATCGTCATATCCATCCAGGGGCTCGTGCCTGGTCATGGCAGGGGTGTCTGTGAGAGAAAGTAGAGTGAATCCAGGGTCGGGCTAGAGTTGCGTTGTTCCCACCCACAGGCTGCAGAGCTGTGGTTGCCACATAGCTGTGGTTGCCACATACCTGGTGCTGTCTTGGTGCTGCTGGCTTCCACGCTGTTGCTGGTGTAATAAGGCAGCTTTGTGGCTGAACCTTCGGATGGGGAGCCTGGAGCATGGGATGTTAAGGGAGGCTGCCTGGCCCCATGCCCTGGCCTGCACCCTGGGCATGATCACCTCACAACAGAGCGGGGACTGTGGAGAATATGGAGAAGCCCCCACATGGCAGCTCCTTGTGACCAGTACATGGCCAAGCTGTGATGTTGGGTGCTGCAGTGGGTTTGCGGGGACTTGCCACAGAGTTCTTAACTCAGCAGGGAAAGTTGCCGGGGGGGAAAGTTGCTGGGAGGGGCAGGGAAAGGCTGTTGGGAGCCATGTCCTCCCAGGTCCATGGCAAACCCACCTGAGCCACTCGGCATCTCCTGGTACTCTGGTGTCATGGTGTAGTCAAGCTCCTCATAGACGACCTCATAGGTTGCCTCTGCATCTGTGCCAGGGCCTGGAATGAAAGGCAGCCATAAGACAAGGCCACAGGTACAGCACAGTGGATAGTAGGCATCACCTGCAGTCCTCCCGCTACCTCTGTGGCCCAGCCCCAAAGCTTTGTCCTATCCTCTGAGCGCATCAATATCCTTGCCTGGACGCTGGGCTGCACCAGGTCCTGCCCTCACCGTGACTTGGCCTCCACCATCTCACTGGTTCCCTGCCCGGAAATATGGGCTACCCCATGGGTGAGGAGTCTGGGAACCATCAGGAGTCCACAGCCCTCATTTGATCTGCTATGGCCCCCTGTCCTGGAAGCTTCAGCCCCACAGACCCCAGTGCAACAAACCTCTGCGCAGAGCAATTGCACGCCAAGCTTGCACAGCGAGGGCACCCAGGGCGAGGCAGAGAAGGGTGGCGAGAATGATGCAGAGCATGGTGGGCACTGGCATGGCCCCAGCAGCTGCTGAGAGCCTGCTGGGAGCACCTGTGAGGACAGCAAAATGTGGCACAGCTGGATTGAGGGCAGGGCCTATCTCCCATCCTACATCTCTGAGGCAGCGGACACACGTGGCAATACAGGGGAGAAGCTGTGAGGACATGGAGGCCAAGGCAGTCCTCCCTCTGCCTGGGGCACAACTGCTGCATGAGCACGAGAAGAGGCAGTCCCCGGGCAGCTGGGTTCTTGGCAGAGTGGCTCCCCCTCCAGTGGGCTGGAGTTGCGCTGTCCCTGGGGCCTCCGTGCTGCCCTGCGTGCCGGACCTACCTGTGCAGGCTGTGCCATCTGGACAGATGGTTGCTGTGGCTGGGGGGGGGGGGCCCGCGCCGCCCGCCGG